CACACAATCAGCAAGGGCCACGTTGCCATGAACGAGGTAGTAGTCATAGCCATGCTGAAGGTATGGCACGCCAAGTATATATGCTGTTGATTCACTTTAAGGTCCGTGTTTCAGCAGTCATGGGACCACTGAGCACGCGAGTTTCAGGGCAATAGCAGGCCAACTCACCACGTGCTTTTCAGGGCTTCCCTCCACTAAAAATGTGCAAAACTAGAATGAATCTTCTGCTAGAACATGGAACCGTACGCCGCCATGTGTTTTGTCTTTTGTGCAAGTGGTGACGAGTGACGCAAGGCCCTTAGGGCCACTTGTCGTAGGAAACGGAAAAAAAAGAAAGAGAGGAATGAATCTTCTGCTAGAACATGGAACACATACGCCGCATATGTTTTGTCTTTTGTGCTGGTGACGAGTGGAGCAAGGCCCTTAGGGCCACTGCTCGTAGGAAAAAGAAACGAAAGAAAGAGAGAGCTACGGTAGTAAGTAGTTGTAACTTGTAACCCATAACTGCTCGAAAGCAGACCTGACTTCGGATCCAGAACATATATTGCTGGCCTGCTCTTCTTTTACACGAAATTTGCTGAACATCTCTTGAGATGTTGGGACCCTTGCATATGTACTGCTGGGGTCCTCCGCGAAAAAGACTATTCAACAAGGAATACGTGGGCCCTATTTCATTTTTATGTGGGGAGGTGCACCATTGGCTACTTCAGCCGGCCTTCTCCATTTATTTTTTTATATCCTATTTAGTGGGGTGCGTCGCATCACGCGCGCGTGCATGCTTACACATGCGTTATGCGCGGCACGTGTGGAGCTCGAGCGCACACGATACGCCGCAGGTATGGGTTGGAGTATAGGTGGAGTATAGGGGTGATATAGGGGATATTGGGTGGGTTAATAAGGATGTTGGGGGCGGTTCGGGAGTGTTAGGTTCGTGTATGCGGGTATTGGGGGCCGCTATGGGGGTGTGGGTGGGGTTATTAGGGGTTCTGGATCCCAAAAACAAAAACAAAAAAAAGTGCGGGGTGCCCATGATCCCCGACTGCTAGGTGCCGACCAGCCGATCGGTCGGCGGGTTGGCAGCCGACCAGTCAAGGGCCGCCGACCGTCGGGGTGTGCAACCCTGGACCCGGCTGTAAAATTTAGGCCGTGTCCCCATCAACAGCTGCAGTCTGATTCATGCTTTCATGGCACAGACATAACATAAGCGGGCCTAGCTAGACTCAGTCGCATCTAGCATGACTGGACGTTGAAAATCATTAGAGGAGAACTGCCCTTAAGGCTTAAACACAATTCCCTGGTCACAAGTTGATCAACTTTCAAGCGATGAGGTCACTATTGCCTGCAGATGGCTCATTTCATCCTAAGGTTAAGATAGCATCTTACAAGAGCACAGACACGCCAACCTGCAAGATGACCCTCCCTCCATGCCGTATCAATTGGCAGGTAATGCCAAGTCTAGTTTTCCTACACTAACGGCTCACTTCTTTTGTCCCCACCACATTTTACCTTTCCAGCATGTATCTGCAAAATTTCGAGAGCAGATGACACACACCCATAAACAAGGATTGCATCTCTCTCTGCCCTCTCCTATTTTGCAATCTCCCTCCAACAAAGCACTGATGCAACATGAAACTGGGAACGGAGGGACAGAGAGGAGACATGGAACAGCGTAACTCACCTGTGCCCAACCAGCACAAGGGGAGGTACAGTTTCTCCATACATTTGCTTGATCACATCAATAACATCTGAGACAAGAGTCTGACAAGAGTTCCATCACATAAGGACAGACCCACAGAGCAAAGTATCAGAGACTTTTTTTCTTTTTTTTTTTGAAGGTTCATCTGGACTCGGACTCAGGTCTGCATTTCAACAGTTTATGGGTCTGACAACCGAGCTAAGCCCGTTGGCTCACACCTGTTACATTTCATGTCAGGCAACCTCCACACCCACCCACGCATTCCCGTTTCTCCACACCCTTTGCCACACAATCCATCAACTACGATTGTGGAGGAAAAAGGGTAGATCAGAGTCATTTCATGCGAGCAGAGCTCAAACGAGAAGTTGTCAGCACAGATTCACATTAACACCGTGAGGCTGCAAATGAACCAGGGTGGAGCTCCTCAGACCAGAGCACTGCAGTTATTACAAGGATAGTGTGAGGTAGAACACTGAAAGATATGACTCTCTTAAGGTTGCCAAATGCCTCGTCATCTAATTAGCGACGCGCATCAATGGATTGACGAGATTCCCACTCTCCCTATCCCCACTGTCCCTATCTACCATCCTGTGAAGCCACACCCAAGGGAACGGGCTTGGATGAAACTGTGGGGGAAGAATACCCAGTTGAGCTTGACTCTAGTTCGCTTTTCTGAAATGACATGAGGACGTGTAGAATAAGTGGGACCTCTACGGCGTACCACAAAGGCAAACCGTGTCTTGCCATACCCGCAGGTCCCCAACGATGTCAGTTACATCATGAAAAAAGAGAGTCAGGTTACCACATCAAAGCTGAGTTCTGCATCATTTGTTCTCCCACCTTCTCCTATGCATTCTTGTAGACAAAGACACACACGCACGCACATGCACACACACAGGGTTCAACCTCCTGATGAATCAGTGAAAGTCCGACGAAACAGTCTGGTGCTTGTTTTTGTGGAGTTGTACAGCGAACATGAGAATACACATGCACACACATGCACACGCACACACACACATCACACACACGCACACACACACACACACACACACACACACACGGTATTCTGCCCTATAGGGCCTATAGGTTTGGGAAATCCTCGACAGTGTGCGTCAAGGTAACGAGGGGAGGAAGTTGGTATCGCCATGATATTAGAACTCATATCCACTTCTTCTTTACTCTTATCCACTTCTTCTCTATGGTGTTCATTATCTTCTACAGGTTTGGGTGTTCATGGATAGGAGAATGGAATACTGCCTTGCCATCCTTGCAGTTGGCTCTTTTCTCACCACCATCTCCCCACGGGTGAGTGTTGCAGAAGGACTCTCTTTGTCGTTTTTCTCAGTTCCCTTTTTTCACTGGTGAGTGACCGTGAGTCAGTGATGTCAAAATGGGATTTGGGAGTTGCATTGCACTAATGTCATCTGACAAGCCATTGTGATCATTGATGCATGCATACTTGTTTTACAGTCTTGTACTACTCTTGCATGCCTCTAGAAGAGCTCAACACAGAGTCAGCAGTGAATTGGGGCTAGAGGAGCCCATGGATGTGCAGCGCTGGTGAACTCTTAGAGGTGGTAGTGTCTCCACAAAACCAGTAAAATGTCTCTCAAAGAGCTAGGTCTACACAGAAACCGGTAGGTGGCTCTCCTTTCCTACAAGTGCTCTCTTGTCCCCTAGCTACTCAATCCCCTCTCATACAGCATAGTGCCAAGCCCACTGCACTTCCGTTCCCCTCTGGAAACCTCCATAGTCAAGTGCCTACCTTAACTCAGAGCTACAGTAGTACAGACACACTTGCGAAAGCATCAGTGGAAATAGGCATCTGTCATAGACACAAAACTGGCACTCCGGATTCCAGATTTTCTTAACTCCTGCAACATCTGGGCTGCGGACCCAGTAAGGCTGCGGACAGCGCGGATTACATGTTTGTTATGTTAGCGATTTTCCAACCGGTGGCAATCTTTTTTAAAGAACCTCAGCAACATCGGAGTTTGGCAAGGCCACTTCGGCATGTGGTTTCTGCTTGATCACAAAATTCAGATCTGCTCGGCATTCTGAACCTTGTTCATCAGATCGATCTGATCATCAATCTATGTCCGAGATAGGTAGTCCCAGTGTAATAATGGTTTTTCCAAGGCCAAAAGGTGTAGCCAAGAATAGGATATTCTTACGGGGATATCTTGATGGCCTCAGCCTGAGGTAGAGCAAGGATGTACTTACATCAGCCGACAGATCAGTATCGTTGCTTGTTTCAGTGAGCCCATGTCCCCTCATGTCCATTGCAACAACACGAGCCTTCTCCTTCATCCGTACTGCTGAGCAACCCCAAGACAACCTAAGAGATGCTCGAAAAGAGAAACCACAAAACACCAGAAAACAAAGATCAGTTGCTCGTTTTAAGCCCCCAGTGCCTCTCTCAGATGCTTTTTCCAACCTCCGGCATGCACGGAGGTCGAGCACCGCACCGTGGCGGGTTTGTAAAGGGTTGTTCGTGAAAGTTTCAAAAGGCGGGGCAGGGTGGAGGGGGATGGTGGCGGTGTTCTGATACAGAGACTCGTTACTTTCTGCACCACGCCGTCCACGGAAAAAAAAAGCAAAACAAAACAGAGAAAACAAAAACAAAATGGCCGTAACTTTCTTGCACCTCAAACAAAAAGATGTTACGATCCTGGTCATTCCCAAAGTGCAAATTCACAATGAAAGACAATGCCACCCAATTGTGAAAGAAATGAAAGCACTTGCAAAGAGATAGAGACCAAAGAAGAGAGAAAGAAGAAGAAGAAGAAGAAGAAGAAGAAGAAGAAGAAGAAGAAGAAGATGTACACCAGCAAGACCAATGACAAATCCCCCTTCTCTCTCCACCTTCCTCCTCCTCCTTCACTTCGCCAATCTTATTCTTCTCCCAATAATAATAATAACAATGAGTGGATGAACCAGAATCAATGTCCGAAGTTCCCTCTTACTGCTGACATCACAATAGGTCCACCATAGTTATGGCTTCCCCCCCTTCTTCCACCTCTCACATGCCTAGGCTATGGCGGACTACTGAGGGCCCTGCCCTCCTGTGCAAAGGACAACGCAAAGCAGCTATGTTGCCGCGCTCCTGTCCAAAGGACAACCCAAAGCAGCTATGTCGCTGCTGACTAAGCCGCCATGCCTGACTCTGCCTCAAGCTTCCTTGGTGCCGCACTACCCCAACTGGGGCCTTCCAGATGCAGCGCCCAACAAGGTGAGGAAGACGGTGTCCACCATAGCCAGGTAGGTACCTCGCCACTTTCCTCCTTCGCCCCCGTCTTCCTCCTCCTCAGGCTGGGCTGCTCGCCATAGCCAGGCTGAGCGCCCAGCTGCTCGTCACCTCCAGGCAGCACTGCCCAAGTCCAGCGCTTGGCTCCAGCAGCATGTCGCCAATCCTTGCATACCGCAAATGAGGAGGAGCTGCTTGCTCCTCCGGAAAATATACCGGCCTACTGGCCTCTTGGGCGGTGACTTCCTAGGCCGAACGGCCTCCCAGCAACCGGTACCTCCTCCCTTTCGGAGGGAAACATCATTTCAGGCTCTGCTATCGTTCGGACAGGCCCTAGACTCGGGCTACTTTGACTGGTACCGGCCTACCTCTAACCTACCGCTACTGGGCCTCTAAAAATGCCAACTTTTTGTCTTCTCCTGCTCGGCCTCCAGTACCCGACACTTCTACCGCTACTTGAGTGGTACCGGCCTACCTGCTACTTGGAGCTGTGGATTTAGCTATTTTTAGGAGTGTTTTTCCCCGCTGCTCTAAGTGTCGCGGGCCTACCCCCGCTACTTGAGTGTTTTCCCCGCCGCAACCCTCAAAGTCACGACCACCGGCCCTGCGGGGCCTTTCAACCAACAAGTACCCTTGCAGGTCACACACACACTCAACCGACAAGCACTCAGACAGGAACGCAAACCAGCAGGCACGCACACACACACAGACTTGGAAACCACAGCAGAATGCGGGAATCTCAGCAAGGCATTCATTCCAGCAGCAAATTCCAGAAATCAGCAGCGTTCTCAGTCTGTGTTTTGGCGGGTCATTACAAAGCAAACAAAACGCCCATTCTGAAACGCAGCTTCTCATGGAGGCCACTGCGTCAACGATGAGCGATGCTCACGGAGGCCAGCACATCCCCATCTACCCAACTTTCCGAAAAATAGAAACAAAAAGAATGCAGTAACCCGTGTTCTGCAGCAGTCTGGGCCCTCAAAACGGGGCCCAGACGACACAGGCCAAATTCGGCCTGCACCAGGAAGTGTGACCACATACTGCCCGTGGGAAAATCAACAGTCTAAGTCAACTGTCAGGTCAAAGGTACCCCGCCCAGGCCCTTGGTCAGATACACTCGCTTGTTGTGTGCAGGTACCCAGACAGCATCGAGGACAGAAGGAATTCGGTTTCAGGCCAATCTGGGCCGTCATCTGCATTGAGATCTGGACGGCTGAGGGATGTAGCATCCGGGGTCCAGACCCCGCGTCAACGCTACATAAGCGCTGACTTCCTGACTTTGACATTCATTCATTCTTGCGTCAATGCTGACTTCACGCGTTGACGACGTGACGCTGGCTCGACGCTGCGACGCTGGTGGACGCTGGCTTCGTGCTGGCATTTGGGAGATCACGGCGACGCGCTGCTGGCTCGGCATGGTGGCTGGCTAGCTATTGTCTTCAAGGCATGCTGACGTGGCAGCTGCCATGCGTTGCTGCTGACGTGGCTGCTGCCACGTGTTCTATTGGCTGACGTGGCCGGACTACGTGACCGGTACTGCTGTTCTGATTCATCGCCACTCAGGAGGAGATCATGACTGTGGAGTAATCGTGGATACGTACCTTGTCATCTTCGACATTGCTCCAGTGCGCTGATGAGGATTTATTGACGTGCCACGTGGCACACTGTAGTAGAACTTTGGATATGCGTTCAGACTAGTGATTATTTGAGGTGGTGATCGAGGAGGGAGCCCGAAGCAGGAGTGGGCCTTGTTCTTTTATTCCTCTCGTTTGTCTAATCTCCCTCCTCTCTCTTTCGTCTGTGTATGATTATCCCATCTCATTCTATCTGGACACGATTCTGATTATTGGTAATCATCAGCAGGTTGACATTCATCTGGGCTTGCATTGTTGACAAGTGTCTTCACGATTGACTGGGTTCATTACAAGAAAACAAAGTGCCCGTTCTGAAACATGGCTTTTACGGAATATTGCGGTTCAAAGGCACACCAGGACTTCCGCACATGTGTCCGACAGCAATTACGATCTACTCTAAGTATCTGACTGTGATAGCCGAGTCGTAAAAGTCCTTGCCCGAGATGCCCTAAGTGCACCCGGTTTTCCTTTTCGTTTTCTTTTGAAAAAAAACAGCTGTCTTTCTCCTCATACGGGGGACAAGCTGAAAAAAATACACCAGGACTACCTATTTTCTTCTCTCAATCTTATATCTACCTCACACTAGCTACCTACCTACCCTTATTTATTATGGTGACTTCATTTTTTAATCTTCTGCACTAGTCCGACCACAAACCCTACCTTAATCTAGCAACAAGAAGCAAGCTACTGCACGGGTAATGGGTTACGCCTATCTACCTAGACTATCTATCCCCTCAGGGTTGAGCCTCCCAGGTAAGCCTATCCCCTCTGGGTTGAATCTAACCCCTAGCGTGGATGGAAAGGGGGCATAGTTACCTCGACCAAGACCCTCTAGGGGGGGCGAACCAACTATCTCGGGTGGTGAGCTGGAAGTATGCAGCAGGAGGTCATGGGGAGCCGAATGGATGGCGTGGGGAATCGAACTCATGAACGCCTGAATACCACTTACGTGATCAACCAAACTAGCTAGGCCGCTGGCCCTCCTATTTTTGCTTCTTGTTTTTCACAAGTACTGCCTTCTGATAGCGGGACGATCCTTTCTGGGGGGTGGGGGTGGGGGTGGGGGGGGGGAGGACTGTGGAACCACCATGGCCTCCGATTCTCAACACACTTGGTCGCCCGCTGCAGATGCACCCGGTAGCCAGTGCCCCAGGGTATCGGTTGCTCAACTGTTAGACTAAGATCTCCTCCTGTTCTCAGGACGACAATATCAGCTCCTAGCCTCATACATACAATGCCTGGCACCATGCTCTTAGCATACCCATTAGTTATAGATTAATATCAGGTCGATCTCAGATTAATGTCAGACGTATCTCAGCCTCAGAAGAATCGCAATGGAATCTCAGATGCAGGTCACATGCATCTCCAATGAATCTCAAATTAAGCTGTCTCTCAGATTAATCTTTTCTGAAAGGATCACACATCATCACAGGTTAACCTCCTCTTAACCTTCCATAAATCTCAGATTAATTGGAAACTAATCTCACATAAGTCAGAGTCTCAGATTAATGCCGACTTGATCTCAGATTAACCTTCTGGTAGCGCCGGACGTGTACCGTCAGCAGCTCTGGACACCAGACACCCGACTGGCCATCTGGATCCTGGACATGCCCGGATGTACCTGTCCAGATGGCCTGATATCGGGGAGGGGGAGAAGGGGGAGGGGGATAAAACACTGTTTTAACGTTGAAAGCACCGTGGGAAGTTGGGGAAGGTTAGGGAAGAGTGTTGCATGGATACTGCATTGCAGGGCCTTCAGAAGGGCATGCTCGGGAAGATGTAAAGATTAGACATGCATGGATGGATGACAATGGATGGCTGTGTGGAGGGATGGATGCCAATGGATGGATAGCGATGGATAGATAGATGGGAGGGTTTCCTCCAAGCTTATCACATGTCAATTTCCCCAAATGTTTGGCTCATGTCCATTAGAGTCGCTAATCCCACTTTCTCCACGTGGCAGTTACCGCAATGAATTTGCATTCTCTCAGCGGGCTGTACACTAACCAAGGCCATTTTTGTAATTTTGAATTTTCTGTATTGCGGGGACCTTACCCGCAAAAGGAACCAGCGGTCTCTATCGGGACTTTTCTACAACAAGTAATGTTCGCGCCCAGGCCCAGATTCGATTTTCTGCTGGGACTTTTGTGGTGACCAGGTCTGCCTTCCTTTTTTTGAGTGATTCGTAGGCCCATGTGCCTCTTCCCAGGTCGTAGGTTGGGGTTCGGTAGTTCTAGGATGATTGTAGAAATAGTTGTGGCCGAATTCTTTGGGGTTCCGTTTGGCGTTTGCTTAGTTTGGTAGAAGGGGGAGTCACGTTTTGGGCTGCTGCGCTATTTTCAGATAGCAGCCGCGCATCATCTTCATCAAGCAGGCAGCCATAGCTGGGGCCATTCCTGCCTGTACCGGAACAGCGCTGATGCAGGGCATCAGGCGATGGTGACAACCTCCATTTCT